ATCCGTTCCGTCCTCTCAGCGCAAGGAAATGCCGAGGTGGGTTGCACAAACAGAAGTGACACGGATGGGACGAGTCCCAGCGTGGGAAGAGCCGAGGGAAGGAGGGGGAAGTGTTTACACAACAGAGAGCGAAGTTTTTCAGAAGATTAATCGCCAGGGCTGACCCTGGCGGCGTGAGCCAGCCCAGGTGGCCGTCAGCTGCTGCAGAAGAAACCAGAGAAGAAGAAACGTCCTTCTGGTGAAGCCTGGCCCAGCAAGCCCAAGCATGGTGGAGCAGGGAGCAAAACGTTTTATTTCAGGAGTTCTTTTTGCCGTTGTCCCCCTTCACAGGCGCTTAAGCAGCCAGTTAAATTTGGGCAATACCCAGGGTCCCATGGGGTCAGCAGCATGTCTGTGCCTATGTTCATTTTAAAAACCTTTACAAATTATTTCTCAGCCTCCATTGAAGGGAGCATTTGGAAAAGCTAACAATTATTATTACTTTCCGGAGCTTCTGTTTGCTTTTAGGGCAGCCTGCAGTGGTTTTGTTTGCAGAGTATTACTGGATGTATTTCCACAAAGAGATTTTGAAGCTTTTTTGCAATGCCTTTAGACAAAAAAATCCTGAATTATTCTGAAAGTATCTGAAAGCAAACTGTCCTCGACACAAACTTATCTTTTAATGGGAAAAAAAAAGAAGATTTTTATTAGTAGCTTTTTCTATTTTTCCAGTAAAATGAATCTGCTGCTTCTCTGACTGTAATCCCAAACCCTTCCACCACTTTTCCGTTGTGTTTAACATATTTAGAAATAAGTCGAACGTATACCTAGTGGGAAGACTGGGGTCTTCAAGGTAGGGTTTGGCAACTCAACGTGCAGACTGGTTTTTGTGGCAGCACGCGGGCTGCTGATCCGTGGTGCGATGCTGCGGTGGGATGCAGTGGTGGGATGCTGGGGACAGGACTGGTCATCCTATCCCTTCCCCAGGGGTTTCCTTGCTGACAGCCGATAGCTCAGCATCTCCATAAATGCTTCCTGAGCTATTCCCATTTCCCATTTCACCAGCTCAGGAGCTGCTCTGTGGTCCCCAAGGCCTGGGCAGGATCCAAAGGAGGAGCAGGGAGCCTGGCCAGGAGAGGTAACTGCTCTCCGTGATCTGCCCAGGGTTGTGCATCACATCCCCAGGCACATATCTTGCCTTTGCATGGATCAGGCACATCCATTAGTCCCGGCATAGGACAATTCACAAGCTGCAGTTTAACCTGGCACTGGAATCCCTGGCAAAGGGTACTCCCTGCCTGAGCTCAGCCTTACCCAACCTGTCCTAGTTTAAACTCTCAGGGTAGTAAAACATGCAGCTTCCAGCCCAAAAAAAAAAACAAACTCAAAACCCAGAGCAAAGCAGGGATTCTGGCTTTTTCTGCCCAAAGTAGAAGCACACTGTTAGTCTGGCCTAAATCCCCAGCCTACACCCATTAGGGAACACCCCCAAACCACCCCGAACAACAGAGACACCCACTCCGTGGATGCAGGAGGGTTTTGCTACAAGTAGAGAGTGTGTCGCTGAGGGATTTTTCCATATCCATAGCTATTTCTTACTGGTTTTCCTGTGCTGCACCCGCGCTCTCCGAGCAGGAGACGGTGCCGTTCAAGCCTTCTTCT